ATTATAATTACGAGAAATTACGGCGTTGCGTTCACACCACTAATCCGGTTTTAATAATAGTTTTGTCATACTCGTACTTGACTATAAAATTTGCTTTTTATCAAAATTCTCTTACACATATTTAGAAATTATTGACTATATTAGAGGTTAAATCCGTCCAAAAAAAATTCAACCTGAGTTACCCACGATTTCAACCCACAATTACCCGGGGTAGAAAATTACTCAATTATCAAATTCCAAGACAAAATCTGGATACTGTATTTGTCGAATCTGATTAGTTGAATTCAAATGCATAAATACATTGTACGAAAGTAAAAAAAAAAAAGTTAGGTCCAATCTAGAACTCAAGCGAACCTAAGTTGATTCAAACTAAATAAAAAATAAATTTCCAAAGGCCTAAAGATGGTTTTTTTTATAGATTGATAATGTTATGTAATACTTATATTACGTAATTTTTTTTGACTAAACTTTGATCGACATTTAACCATCTTGGTATATATTAAAATACTGTGAAAGCAATCTGATTAGCTGATATTCGTGTAACATTATTTTTTAATAATGCGTTCACGTGAACTAAAGATACACTGTAGCATGGGTTCTGAAGTGCTTTTTTTTAGCATATAATAAAATAAAAATAACTATATACAGTAAATGTTACACAATCTCAGTCAAGAAGAGTGTTATTGCTTTTTTAAATATAGTAGATAAGAATTTTTTTTTTTTTTTAGAAAAATTACTCTATTTTCAAAATAGACTAGACTTGCTAGTTTGCTAGTTATGTTTAAAAAATTATCATATGAATAAAAAATATAGAAGAATTGTTAATCTTTATATTTTTGATCTTTTATTGGAACCTTCTAAAGCAAACAAAAAATAAAATAATGATTATTTTTTTTTATTATAAAAAATACCAAAAAACAACAATCTGAAGTTGTTTCTTAGGAATTCATATACAGTAGTGCTTGGCAAAATTAAACTTTTTTTTTAATACTCAAATATATATGAAAGGCTGGCTTTTAAATTATTACAACAATACAGTATTATTGTATTATCACATTACTATATTTCTATATTGATTTAAAAGCCAGATCATCACATGTATTTGAGTATTAAACAAAAGTTTGATTTTGCTAAGCACTAATATACAAAGAACTAGCAAGACTAGAAGATTATAAAAAAATCAATAAACTATTATTGTAAGGTATTTTATATTTATTTTATATCAAAAAAATTTTGAAGCCTAATTATAATTAATTTTAATAAAAATTTTTATTGATTATACAACAATTAATAAAAATAGACTAATTATATTTTAAAAAACTTGAATAGTTTACTAATAACTATTTAGTCAAATCTGATAAGTTCATTAATTTTAATGTGATTAATATATGACCAATATATAAAAAAAATTGGTTATTATTAAAGTATATTCACAGATTGAATATATGAATAAGAGGCATCTCTAGCTAGAGATATATAACTATATATTTCTGGCTTATTAACTAATTAAAACAAGCAGAGATCATATAATCTATTTTTCAAATCACCAACTAGTCAAAAAAGCTTGTGCAACTCAAAACTAATCTACTTTATGGACTAAATTATAGAACAAGTTTGAAATATGTATAAAATTTTTTTTATTTACACTACTAGAAAATAACTTCAAAATGCTAAAATTTACAAAAAAAAATAACTTTTAAATACTAAAAAGAATTGTTAAAAACAGTTTGAACCTAACTACAAAAATAACTTAAACCTAACAAAAAAAATAATCAGAGAATAGCTCCAAATTCATCAAAGAAAATTATCAAAGAACAGCTCCGAATTAAATTACCAGAAAGCAGTACCAAATTTAGCTAAAAAATTACTAAAGAATAGCTTCAAATTTGGCAAAAAAATTATCAGAGAATAACTTCAAATTCAATGAAAAGAATTACTAGAGAATAGCTCCCAATTTGACAAAAAGAATTCTAATCCAGCAAAAAAAGCCACCAAAGAACAACTTCAAGTCTGGTAAAGAAAATTATAACAGAGCAACTTCAACCTTGGTGAAAAAATTACTAGAAAACAACTCCAAGTCTAGCAAAGAAATTACTAGAGAACAATTTTAAGCCCAGTAAAAGAGGTTATTACAAACCAACTTTAACTCTAGTAAAGAAATTACCAAAGAACAAATTTAAGCCCAGTAAAGAAAGTTATTTCAGAACAACTCTATTTGGAAAAGAAACTAATAGAAATAAACCTGAATTAGAGTAGATTTTTAGTAAAAAGCTATCAAGAACTATAGCAAAGAAAATTATTAGAGAAAAGCTCTAAAACTTCTAAAAACTTACCAGAGAATAGCTCCAAACTCGAAAAAAAAATTACTCTAATCTGGCAAAAGAAGTTAGAAAATAGCTCCAAATCTGACAACAAAATCACCATAAAACAGTTCCAAACCTGCAAAGAAGCTAATAGAATAAAACTAAATTAGAATAAATTTCATAATAGAAAACTACTAGAACAGCTTCAAACTTAGCAAAGAAACTAATAAAAATAAAATAGGTTTTCTTATAAAAAACTATTAAAAAACAACTTCAAACATGATGAAGAAATTACTAGAGAATGGCTTTAAAATTCTTAAAAAATCTACCCAAGAACTGCATTTTCAACCTGGTGAAAATTACCAGAGAACAGCTCAAACTCAGTGAAAAAACTAATAAATAAAACTAAACTAAATAGGTTTTTTAGTATAAAATTATCAAGAATAACTCCAAACTTAGCAAAGAAAATTATTAGTGAACAGTTTTAAAATTTCTAGAGAATAGCTTCAAAACCCAAAGAAGTTAATCTAAATCTGATGAAAAAAAGTTACTAAAAAACAGCTTCAAATCTGGCAAAAAAAAACATCTTAGAACAGCTCCAAATCTGGCCAGCAAGAAAACTAATAGAATAAAATTGAATTAAAGCAGGTTTCATAATAAAACTACCAGAACAGCTCCAAACCTGGTGAAAAAAATTATCAAAAAATAGCTTCAAAATTTCTAAGAACCTTACCAGAAAAAAGCTTCAAACCCAATGAAAAAAATTACCAGAAAAATCTTCAACCTAGTAAAGAAACTTACTTCAAATAATAGCTTCAAATCCAGCAAAAAAAAATTATTACAGGACAGCTCCAAACTCAGTGAAGAAGCTTATAGAAATTAAATAAATTAGAGTAGGTTTTTTAATAAAAAACTACAAGAGAACAGCTTCAATCCTAGCAAAAAAAATTATCAGAGAACAAAAAATTTCTAAAAAACCTACCAGAAAATAATTCCAAACTTGATGAAAAAAATTATCAGAAGAACATCTTCAATTTAGTGAAGAAAATTAACAAATAATAGCTTTAAATCTAATAAAAATACCAAAGAACAGCTTCAAATCTGACAAAAATACAGAAAGCAGCTTCAAAACTGGCAAAAAGACTAATAAAAATAAAACTAAATAAAAGAAGGTTTCTTAGTAAAAAGCCAAAAGAACTAATAGCAAATAGCCCCAAAATTACCAAGAAACTTACTAAAGAATAGCTTTAAAATGCTTAATAAGAACAATTTCAAAAAGAGCTCTTTGATATTTTGAAGTTTCTCTCTCTAATAGAACTATATAAAACTACCAGAGAACAGCTTCAAAATGTCAAAGAAATTTACTTCAAAAGCACCTAAAAGGCCTAAGATGAGACTTCACTAAGCAACTAAAAAAAATAGTAATTACAAAAAAAAAACAATAGAATTTGATTATTAAAAATCTATACTTATTTATCTAATAGTGTAGCAAAGAAAAAAAAAGCATTTAACCTGGCATTGGCAATCAGATTAATATATGAATCTTAATTATGTGATTTTTCTAATCTTTGATTAGCTAAAGAGGCCAGAGATATATAAATTATATATCTTTAGCTAGAAATGCCTAGAATTTTTTTATAAATAAAGGTTAAATAATAAAATATACTTTTATTAATCTATTATTTACTTAATATATATTTAGAAAAGAAGAATAATAAACTAAAAATACTGACAAATATTACATAATATTTTTTTACTATAAAAGTACCCCTCCATATAAGATTAATATGATTGGTCAATTGCAATATAATATATTATAAATTATAAATTATACAGTCGTCCCTCCATATAGTCACCTCCCATATAATCACATCATATGTAATCACATTTTTATTTAGGCCAAACTATAATTTAATTTATAAGAAAAAAACCTCCATATAAGCACAACCTCTCTATAAGCACATTTTAAAAAAAAGTTACTATGTGCCCAACTGTGTGATTGTATGGGAGGACGACTGTATACAGTATATATAAAACAAATTTTTTGTAATGATAAAAGCCTATGCATTATTATAGGTCTGTAGTTATAAGAAATAGATCAGCCGACTAAAAAAAACTGCCGTTGTATATACAAAAAAAAAAAAACGAAAAAAAACAACTTTTTTGCAATAATAAAAAAAAAGCCTATGAACCGATTTAAAAAATCATAAAAAACCTATTAATAAATCATCCAATTAAAAACACAATTTTAAAAAAAAACCCCAGCCCATTAATTATTGTGAGAAATAGCTTAGCCGAGTAAACGAAAGCCTATAATCATTATCATTCTAAAATATAATCAGCCGATTTGAAAAAAAAAGTTTGCTATTTATGAAAACCACCAATTAAATTGTTACCATTAAAATGAATAGAAATCAGCTGATTTTGAAATTCTAGAACTCAACCGATCATAAAAGAGAAAAAAAAAATCCGTCCAACTAATGAGCATTAATTAGCCTCACCATTATTTCCGGGATCACCAAGTGTAAAAGGGAAACCGTCGTGAAAGCCTGAATGCGTCCATGTGACGTTGAAATACTTGAATATTAACGCTAAAGAGAAGGTTTCATTGGGGGACCATGATTCATTCTCAATTATAATTTTGCCGTGCCCATGAAGATGCCTGGAGGCTGTATGATACAGACCTCCCAAGCACGTTCAAACATCCTCAATTTTAAGATGATTTTCTTTGCATGACCTTTCAAGAAAATTGGTAAAATTCGTATCCTTTGAAAGTGAATTAAGGATTTTATCGATTGGTTCTTTAATTGTAGTGGTACTAATTTTATGTACACCGGATTCATGTGCAATCTATTATGAAAAATTATAAATTAAAAATAAAAATGGTAAAGCAATAAACTAACAGTTATCGTACAAACTCTTATGATCATAGATTTTTTTCTTCTTGTTATTTTTTGTACGTTATTACATAAGCACAACAATCTCGAATT